GGTTACCCTTTGCAAAGGGCAATGCTTATTTCCATAAGTTCCTCATACGCATCTCAGCTTAAGCCTCAGATAAATCACCAAAACCTCTGAAGAGGTTGCAAACAAACGGCATAACCCCTCAATCATAGCATCTGATTATCTGAAACAAACATTGTCCTTCCCCTCGGTACCTACATTATTTACTTAAGTTGAAACTGAACATATCCCAAGAGACCTATCATCTAATAAATAGTATTTCTCTCAAAGACCCATTTCACATCGAAAGCCTTGTCAAAGTACAGAGAAGATAGATAATTCTATCAAAGGTTTCGCAGATAATAGTTCAAATTTATTTTCACATCTCTTTGCCGCAAAATGTTACATCTACTTACTAACTTATCTTTAGTTTGAATTGAATTGAATTGAATGGCACACCTATCCTCTTCATTTCCCCCCCAAAAATGATCCTTTTTATATGCATAGTAGGCAATTCAAGCAATCACCTACTGTACAATAGAGATAATTGCAATCTCAAGGAAAAAAAAAACTTACAACAATTGATTAACAACTAAACTAGAATGAAGGGGTCATTAGATATCTTACCACTGACATATAGCTTGGTTGAGACTTGCTCAGGTGGAGAAGGAACTAGATGACACGAAACCACAAAGCTTCTATGGCGAGTTTTACATTTAGTTGTAGAAAGAGACAGAGATGAAAACTTCCTGTGGAACAGAGATGAAGAAGAAACGTACAAGGAGTTGAGAGGAGAAAAGGGGCTGTCTTTTACGTTTCTGAGAGATGAAAAGACGAGAGTAGTAGCTACTGTTGGAGCTGCCATTTCTACTTCCCAAATGAAGAAAGAAAGAGAAGGAACTGAACTGTTTGTTTTTGGATAATTTTGCAAAGATGGACTATGATTTGGAATTAAAAATATACAAATCTTATTGTCCAAGCCAATAAAAGCCCGACGCTATAAAGGCCCGTCTAAAAAATATTAATATAAACTCTGCCCAAACCTAAGTCCAAGTCCACTTTATTTCCCCGCCATTATAAGCGGCTCGCTTCACTCACTCGCCTGCTGTAAT